GGGGAAAACAGGATAGCTGTCTTCAAGTTACTGAAGGATTATAACCCAATAGGAGAATTTTGAGGGCACAGCCAAGATGGTGGATTAGGGGCAGCTGCCTCTCCCAATGTTACCCCTCAAACAACTTTAAAATAACATCTCAAATAAAATTCTGGAGTGGCGAAGCCAACAGAAAGTTAGGGGTGAGATATTTTTTCTGACCTAAGAAAACTTAGGAGGGAGGCAGCAGTGGTCTGTAACACCAAGGTGAGGTCTGGTGGAAGTTGGTCTGGAGCCCACACACTTGGAGGTGGCAACAGCAACTGAAGCTGTTTTAGGGGCTCTCAGTGCAGAGACACCAATCACCTTCTGAAAGAGATCCCAGGAATAGTAGAGCCATATTCCAGAGCATCAAGATCAAAAGCAGCCAGGAAGAAACAATTCAAATATCAGGGAGACACAGTCAGGATCACACAAGATTTAGTGGCTTCCAAGTTAAAGGATCAAAGGGCTTAGAATATGATATTCCAGAAGGCAAAGGAGCTAGGATTAAAACCAAGAATCATCTACCCAGATAAACTGAGTGTAATCCTTCAGAGGAAAAAATGGATGTTTAATGAAATACAGAACTTTCAAGTATTTCTGATGAAAAGACCAGAGCTGAACAGAAAACTTAACATTCAGATGAAAGACTCAAAAGAAGCATGAAAAGGTAAACATGGAAAAGTAATCATAAGGGACTCAATAAAGTTAAACTGTTCACATTCCTTTGTGGGAAGGTAATACATGTAGCTCCTAAAAACTTTATTAGGGCAATTAAAAGGAGCTTACAGAGACAGAAGTCATAGGTGTAAGTTGATTATGTTGGAATGATTTCTAAAAGAATGATAGGGAGAGAAAGAGGAGCACTAGGAGAAAAGGGAAAGGAGAGGTAAAATAGGGAAATTTTCCTCATATAAAAGAAGCATACAAAGAAGAGCTTTTACAGTGGAAGGGGAAATGGGGGGAAGGTGGCAGGCAATGCTTGAACGTTGCTGTCATCAGAATTGGTTCAAAGAAGGAAGAATTTATATGCACACTCAATTGTATATAAGAAGTATAACTTGCCCAATAGGGAAATGGGAGAAGAAGGGGATAAGAAAAAGTGGGGAAAGGGGGGATGATAAAGGGGAGAACAGATTAAAGGAGGCAGTGATTAGAAGCAAAATAGGCTTTTGAAGAGGGATGCAACAGAGAGACAAAGACAGAGACAGAGAAAGGAAGAAACAAAAGATAATGGGATGGAGGGAAATATACAGTTAGTAATCATAACTGTGAGTGTGAATGGGATAAGCTAACCCGGGCTGGGGAACCTGTAGCTTTGAGGCCACCTGTGGACTTCTAGCTGCTCAGGCTAGTTTTATAGAACAAATTCTTTTATTAAGGGTATTTGTTCTGTGGAGTTTGGATTCAACCAAAGGGCCACACTTGAGGACCAAGAGGGCCACATGTGGCCTGCAGGCTGCAGATTCCCCACCCCTGAGATAACCCATAAAATGAAGCAGACAACAGAATGGATTAGAAACCAAAATCCAACAATATGTTGTTTACAAGAGGCAACTTGAAACAGAAAGACTCATGCAGAGTTTAATAAATTAAAAGGTTAGACCAGAATCTGATTTGCATCAGCTGAAGTTAAAAGGTACAGGTAGCCATCATGATCTCAGACAAAGCAAAATGGAAAACAGACCTAATTAAAAGAGATAATCGGGGAGAGTTCATTTTGCTAAAACGTGCCATAGACAATGAAGTAATATCAAACATTTTTACAGCAGGTTCCTCTGATAAAGACCTCATTTCTCAATGTATTCTGAGTACAGAACTAAGTCAAATTTTTTTTTAAAAATCCATTCACCAATTGATAAATGGTCAAAGGATATGAGCAGGCAGTTTGGAAAAGAAGAAATAAAAGCTATCTATAACCATATGAAAACATGTTCTAAATCTTTATTGAGAAATGCAAATTAAAACAATTCAGTACCACTTCACATCTATCAGAAGTAACAAATGCTGGAGGGGATGAGGGAAAAATAGGTACACTAATGAACTATTGGTGGAGTAGTGAACTGGTCCAACCATTCTGGAAAATAACTTGGAACTATGCCAAAAGGGACAAAAAACTAAGTATATCCTCTGACCCAGTAATATCACTATTAGGTCTGTATCTAAAAGAGATCAAAGAAAAAGGAAAAAAACCTATATGTACAAAAATATTTATAGTAACTCTTTTTGTAATGGCAAAGAATTGGAAATTGAGGTGATGATCATCAGTTGAGGAATGGCCAAATAAGTTGTGGCATATGATTGTGATGGAGTACTACTGCATTACAAGAAATGATGGGGGGGAGGGGTGGTTCAGAAAAACCTAAGTGAACTCATGCAAACTGAAGTGAGAAGAACTGGGAGATGATCATGCACAGTAACATCAAGCAATGTTGCAACGGTGATCAACTGTGAAAGACTTGGCTACTCTGATCGATACAATGATCCAAGACAATTCCAAAATACTCATGATGAAAAAATGCTATCCAACTCCAGAGAGACAACTGATGAACTCTGACTACAAATTGAAATATAATTTACTCACTTTGTTTTTCTTGCTTTTTTTGAAATATGCTGAATACGGAAATAGGTTTTGCATGATTTCACATATATAATTGATATCCTATGTCTTGCTTTCTCAGTGGGTTGGGAAAGGGGTGGGAGGGAGGGAAAAAATTTGGAACTCAAAATTCAAAGAAAAGAATGTTAATAATAATAATAATTTTTTTAAAAGGAAGGAGATTTGTTTTTCTTGGACCCAAGAGTAGAAATAGGCATGGGATGGAAGTTGCAAAGAGGAAAATTTAGGACTGATTTCAGGAAAAACTTCCTAACAATTGGCCTTGTCCAAAAGTGTCAAGGTCTGGCTAGCCAGGTAGCATTTCCCACCCCCACTAAGCAAGTGAAGTCTTCAAGCAAAATCAGGATGACCATATGTCATAGAGTGAATTCTTTATTAAGTATGAGTTGGACCATATAGCTCTGTGATCTCTTCCAACTAAAATTCTCTGAAACATTTATTGAGTACATACTTAGTGTAATGAAAAGGCATAATGCCAGGTGGGGCAGCTAGGTATCTCACCCAGCCTGGAGTCAGGAAGACTTGAGTTCAAATCCAGCCTCAGACACTGACAGTATAACCTTAGACAAGTTACTTGAGCTGTTTTTTGCTCAGTTTCATCTTCTGTATAATGGTGATAATAACAGCACCTACTTCCCAGGGTTGGTATGAAGATCAAATGAGGTAATACTTGGCATATAATAAGGGTTATGTAAATGTTAGCTATTAATATTAGATGCTGGGAATACAAAACCAAACCAAACAAAAACAGTCTTTATGTTCAAGAAGCTTATAGTCTACTAAAAAAATTCTACTGAACAAATATTTCATAAGTGCCTCAGACCCCAGACATTGTGCCAGGCCTTGCAAGCTAATTCCTTGAGAGCAAAGGCTGTTCGATTCTTTTCTTTGTATCTTAGTGCCTGGTACACAGTAGGCATTTCATAAATGCTTGTTGATTGTGACTGAAAACTAAAAAGCGATAGTAAATATCACAGGGAGCTTTTTAACCATGATTTTGCCTCAGATTTTCCTCCAAACTGTTGTTAGAGACAGGGCATTAGGCAGAATAGAGCACTTGATATAAGTAGGATTTGGGTTTTTGTGTTGTGAATCTGGTAGCTGACATTTCCCAGCATGGTTTCTGGTTGTCAGTTTTTTCCCCTGGCCTCCCACATAAACCATCCCTCAACTCCAAGGTAAAGGGCTAAGATCACTTCCTGCCTTAAGGTGGAAAGTTGCAGGGATGGAAGGGAGGTGGGGGAGGGATAAAGAGAGAGGAAGAAATTAGTGTGACTTTACTTCCAATAGAAGACCAGGTAACAAGCTACCTCATCCCTCTGTCTAATCAAACTTTTGGAAATCCTCTTGGAAATATTTACTATTACTTTACAGTTTTCGATCACAATCAACAAGCATTTAACCAAGTTGCCTTAAGAGTCAAGTCCTCACTCCATAATTAAGCTAAAGTCTTTGTTTTACCCTTATCTTTTTCAGGTTTGTCAATCAACAAGTCAATCAATGAGTTTGTTAAGCTTTAGGCAAAGGCATTGGGATCAGGAAGCTAAACTGCTTTGAGATTAAACTGGACTTTAAAGGGGGGAGGGAAGGTTAGTTGGGGGGGTAAAAACACTCTTCTCTCCCTCAGCTCCCTCCCCCCAAACTCTTCCCCTTGCTAGCCCAAATTTCCCCCATCTGACCTTACCCCTAAGCCAAGCAATGACTGGTAGATTTCATACCTGCCCTAGAAGTGGGTTTTAGTTGTGAACGCCATTTCCCCAATCTTCAACATAAGATAACTTCAAATTGTTAAAACTTTGCCCTGGTCTGGTATGTTCCTATGGGTTACTAGGAAAATTCTTGCATTTGAACGGGTGAAGAAAGAAAATAAGGAAAAAGGGAGATTTGCAGCAAAAGTCCAAGATGTCTCTAGAACTCTGCAGGATCAATTCCAAGTGTCAATTTTACTCTTCCCTCCCGCCACTCCCACCAAAAGCTTGAGGGTTACATGCACATCACTAGCTTTATCCTTTAGGTCCAGGGGCAACTACTGCTTAATTTGCCGCATCACCCCTTCCTCTCAAACAAGGTTCTTTTCTCTTTGCCTCTCTTTACCCCCTGCTCCTCAAGACTGAAGCACAGTCTGGCCCTGGCTCTAATTTCATCAAGCAACGAGGTAGTGCAGTAGACAGTGCTGGTCTGGAGTCTGAAACACTCCTCCCCCTGAGTTCAAATCTAATATTAGACACTAGCTGTGTGTGACCCTAGGCCTCAGTTCCTTATCTGTAAAATGATCTGGAGAAGGAATGGTAAGCCACTCCTGTCTCTTTGCCAAGAGTCAGACAAGACTGAAACTACTGAACAACCACAAATTTCATACTGTACCCGCACACTACTTCAACACTTGCGTGCACGTACAGACACACACCCTAACTTCCTTCTCTGCTTCAACCTCCTCGATCCATTGTCAGGGACCAACGACCCCCAAAACTCCCCGCCTCTCGGCCTGCCGCTTCAGCTCCACCAGGAGGCAAGAGCAGTTTAGGACCCACCGCCCAGACCCGCCCCCCCCATGCCCCTCACTTCTTGGAACTCGAGATAAGATTGAGGCTAGCTTCGAGGAGGGTGGTGACGGATGGGGAGTCCTGGGGGTGGCGGCTGGAAGAGGGAAGAGTAGGAAGAGTCCCCCAGGGTGGCGAGATGAAAAGAATAGAAAACTGGTGCTTGAGCCACGGGAGGAGAGAATCTTGGCAGGACTGAAGAGAAAGCATTGGGAATAGGTGAGTTGAGGAGCTGGATGGGGGTGTGGACAGCCGTCAGAGAGCTGCCCAGCGGTAAGATCCTTTTTCACCCTCTGGGTGTAAGGGGCGGGACGAAACTGAATAGATTCTTGGAGCCGTGGGAGGGGACCCCTCCCTTTAGGAAAGCCGGAAGGAACCTGGGACTGAAGCCTGGGGCTCGCCAAAGACTAAGACTTCGGGCCTGGTAGATAATGACAAGCCTTGGGGGCCCTCTGAATCAAGCCTGGGAAGCAAAGAAGACTGAAGGCTGAGGGGGAATGGTCTCTGGAGGTGAGCTGCGCTGGCAGAAGCTTTTTCGGAAGTTATAAGGGCCAGGCAAGACACAGACACACAGACAAACACACACACACACACACACACACACTCACACATACACACACACACACACACACACACACACACACACACACACACACTCACATACAGAGGTGAGCCCCAAGGTAATTTCTTGCTGATAAGAAGAGGAAGAGGCCGTTTCTAGTGGACCGGGAGGGGCGGGGGAGGAGGGACGCGGCAGAGCTTGGGGACTACAAACTATTCTAAAAGAAAACATCTTGGTGGGGGAGGAGGAGTAAGAATAAGACCTTGGGAGACCCAGACCTAGAGGGACAGGAATGATGATAATAATAACAGTTGTTACTACTTAACATTTGCATTTAGCATTTAGCATTTGCATAGGTTAACTTTTCCCCAAACACTTTCATACTGAATCATTATCCTAATTCTTATCTTCCTAAATTGCCTTCTGAGGGTGACTGGAGGTGTGTAACCTGCCCAACGTTCCCTTTCGGATTGCAGGCTGACCCACCTAGGCGTCACCTCACGTTCTGCCAGAGAACTAGGTGTGTAGCTGGAAATATTATAAAGCAGCCAAGAGAGGAGAAAGGGGCACAATTTAGGGGAGGGGGAACCCAAACTTGAGTGATGTGATTATAAATCATAGCTACATTTACATGGCAGTTTATGAGCTACAAAGCTACTTTCTTCATAACAACGATGTGACGAAGGAACTACAAGTATTAGTCAAAAGTCACTGAACATTTATTAAGCGCCTACTATGTACCAGGCACTGTATTAAGCACTGGAGATGCAAAGAAAGCATCCCCCACCAAAAACAAACAAACCAAAAAACAGTCCCTGCTCTCAAGGAGCCCAAAGTCTAATGCAAGCAGCTATGTACAAGCAAGCTATATGCAGGATTAATTGAGATAATCAACAGAAGGAAGGCACTAGAATTAAGGAAGGTCAAGAAAGGCATCTTGTAGAAGGTGGAATTTTAGCTGGAACTTGAAGGAAGCCAGGGAAGGTAGGAGGGAGAGTATTGGCGGCATGGGAGAGTACCAGGAAAATGCTGAGTCTACAAATGAAATATGGAGTTTGAGAAATAGCAACGAAGTCTGTGTCACTGGATCCCAGAGTACGGGGGAGATATAAGGTGTAAGAAGACTGGAAAGGTAAGATGGTGCTAGTTATGAAGGCCATTGAATGTGAAGCAGAAGATTTTATATTTGATTCAGGAGGTGATAGGGAGCCATTGGAGTTAATTGAGTAGGAGATCACCATGGTCAAATCTGTGCTTTAGGAAGATCACTTTCGTGTCTACTCGGAGGATGGACTGGAGTTGGGAGATCTGTGGCAGGGAGACCTGGACTATTTAAATAGTCCAAGAGTGAGGGGATAGGGCTTGAACCAGGGTGGTGGCAGTGTCAGAGGAGAGAGGGGAATAGGTAAGAGATGTGGCAAAGATAAAATTGACAGACCTTGGCAACAGATTGAAAGATACGGGTTAGGGTAAGAGAGAATTGGGAGTCCAGCAGGGCACCTCTTGTTACCTCTATTCTGATTCTCCCATCTGCTAACTGGGGCAAGTAGGTGGCACAATGGATAGAGTGCCAAACCTGAAGTCAAGAAGATCTGAGTTTAAATCCAGCCTCAGATACTTACTAGCTGTGTGACTCAGGGGCAAGTCACTTAACTTTGCCTCAGTTTTCTCATCTGCAAAATGAACTGGAGAAGGAAATGGCAACCACTCCAGTATCTTTATTAAGAAAAATCCAAATGGGGTCATGAAGAGTCAGACATGACTGAACAACTCCTATTCCATTGTATTAGATATTTCTAATCCTATGAGGAAGTTAAGACTGAATCCCCACTTTATTGATAAGGTAACTGATGTTCAAGGAACTTGAGTGATTTCCCCAAAGTCATACAGCTGGTATCATAAAAAGCAATATAATGTAGTTGAAAGAGTGCCAAACTTGACATTACAGGCCTTGGATTTTAATTTCCATCCTGTTCCTTATCTGTATGATCTCGGAAGAGATAGTTCACCTCTCTGGAGAAAAAGCACTCCATCTAGAGTCACAGAACCTGGGTTTGAATCCCACTTTCATACTGTGCATTGTCCATTGAGTTTTTTATAGCTGTGTGACCTTGGGCAGTCACTTCCCCTCTGGATATCTCTAAAGATTGTAGATGATCTGTTACGGTCCTTTAAGCTTTAGATCTCATAATCCTGAGCCCCATGTTCCAAATGCAAACTCACTGTAATATTTAACTTAGTTCTCTCATAAATACTGTTGATTCTTAAGGTTCATGATATTAATTCCAATCTAAAAGGGACAGATGGAAAACCTCAGGATTCAAGAGTCTTGAGTGAATTTTTTTGTTGGTACCCATGGTGTTCTTGGCTCTCTACAGTAGGCACCAGCAGAATCTTGTAATTGAGGAAGGTTTGGGGATGGGGAGTCTGTCGATAAGTATTTCTTAAGTGCCTACTGTGTGCCAGATACTTTGCTAAGCACTGGAGACACAAAGAAAGGCAAAAGACAGTCCCTGCTTTCAAGGAGCTCCCAGTCAATGAGGGTAGCTGCTCTAAGGGCATCTATTAAAGCTGCCATGATCTATCATTTGATATAGCACCTTGTAGTATCCGTTTCCCCAGGAGTCTGCTCTATAGACACTTGGATGGATTGGGTGCCACTTCCCAGAACACTGGTTAATGAGTGTCTGCAGCATGTTTGCCCACCACCATGCACCACCAATCACAGCAATCACCTGTTGCTGAATGAGGTTGTAATCAGTACGATTAACGTCATTCTTTGGGCCCTTGGATACATTTAAATGTTTTCTCTTGTTCACTAGATGGGAAAGGGTGTTAATGATTACAAGCTGATGCTGGGCATAGTCATAAATCGACAGGAGACTGACTACTCTGGTTAACTAGCCAGGCTTCATCATGTATTTTTCTCCAGTCTCATCTGCTCATCAGACTCAGACATGGTTGTAATGAGTCTGTCTAGGTCTTCTTTAGAATCTCTCTCTTTCTTTCTTCACCTTCTTGGTGGGTGCCCATGTTCTGATGACTGTGGGATAGTACTTCCCTCTGAGCAGTAAATATAGAGACGTCTGTTAAGAGTTAATTACTTAATGCAAATTTGGGAATGGTTTAGAGAGCGGTTGCCCACTTGCAAAATATCTGAGGAGAGGAGGTCTCTCTAAGATGGAGGTACCCAAGTTTAGCTTTGAAGGATGCAAACAATTCTATGAAGCAGAAGTACAGTAGAAATATATCCTAGGCATGCAGCACTGCCATTTAAAGGGGCAGAAGGGAATGCCACGTTCATGAAATACCTAATGTCTAATTTGGCTATGACCTAGTTAGTATACATGAAGGAGAGTAATGTCTGGAAAAATAGGCTGGAGCCGGACTTTGGACATCTTTAAATGCCAATTTAAGGAGTTTATATTTTATCCTAGATACAGTAGTAAGCCATTGAAGCTTCTTGAAATGGTCAATGCTGTGTTTTAGGAAGGCGATTTTGGCAGTTATGTCAAAGATGGATTATTCCCTCCTACTCTCTCCTGTCCCCCTTCTTGTAGGAATATACTCCTTGGTGTTCCCACCTGTTGGTACTGGTTCCTTTGGAACTGTTAGAATTTCTCCCTTCACTATTGGCAAGCTCAGGATTAAAGAACATGGTAGTTCTGTTTGCACTTTGCATAGGTTTCTATGTCCAACTTGCTACAAGACCTGAGTTGGCTGAGTTCTCTTCATTACTGACAACTAAGAGGAATTCAATTCATTGGCTGGTCAGCTGGGGGCTGATCTTATTGGTTCATGCCAGAAATAGCTCTAGTCAACTCTAATGATGATTAGTGGTGCTTTAGTTGCTCAGGCAGTAAAATGGAAGTGTGGGTAGGGGGAAAAAAGTGTCCTGTCCTCTGAGGATAAAACTGCCACATAAGGGAAGCATTTTAAACCTTTAGAGATGAAAGGTGCCCTTTAAGTAAAATAAATAAGGTGATAGATAAGTACTCATATTAATATTACTGTTTCTTGCCATGCATTTTTGTAATCCTCTGTAATCACAGGCATCAATCCATATCCCATGACTGCATTCTTCAGCAGAGATAAATTTTCTGGAAGGGAGAATGGTTGAAAGCTGCATGTTCTTGTCAACATGAACCCTGCCTGTTTTTCTGTAAAGTCTCTCCCAATTCTAAGATTCTGTGGTTGTAATTACTGTACATTATTGGGCAAGTTAATCCTAGAACCATAGGGCATTAGAGCTGAAAGGAACTTTGGAGATCTCCCAATCCAATACCCTTACCTTACTGAGGAGAAAACAGAGGCTCACAATGGACAAGTAACTTGGCATATTGGAAAGAGCCCTAGATTTGGAAGCGGAGGATCCTAGTTCTGCCCCATGCTACATGTGTGACCTTGAGGAAGTCAAGTCAACCCTCTGGGGTTCAGTTTCCTTATTCATAAAAATGAAGGGTTGGACAAGTTGCTGTCTAAGGACCCTTCGAGCTCAAAGTCTGAGTCCATGAGCCCAAGGTCACATAGCTAGTTGGTGAATTTAAGGCAGTGGGTTTTCCATGAGCTCTTATGCCTTGGCAGTTGGTTGTCCCATGGGAAAGAAGGTGGAGATAATTCCTTTGCCTCCTCAACACCCCCCTAGCCTTAGGTGTAAAGTAGCTAGCTAGACACACAAAATAGTGGTATTTGCTATGCCTTCTACAGGGACTCAATCCCAGTGGGATAGAACAGTGGGCTATATATTTCCAGCAGAGTTCTTGTTTGGGAAGCTTTACTTCTCCATCTATTCTTTTCCTTTTTTTTTTCCTTACCCACACACTCACTTGGGTCTGATCAGCACTAATGAAATCACTTTTCAATTTTCATCTGCTCCAGCTAAGTTCATTACAGTTAAAGCCCTTTTTTGAAATCCCATCACTCAGATATCAACAGCTCCAGACCCCTCTCTTGGCTCCTGTCCCTTCCCTGGGCCTCTCTCACTCCTCAGACAGTCTGGGTAATCCCAATCAGCCACAGATTAGATTTGATTTGATTGTCGAGCTTTCTGTTATCAGCTCTCTCTTGCCTAGCATTGTGGATAGATTTCTTCCCTGGATAGTTCTCAAGTGTTTTCTAATTTCTCCACATTCTCGTCCTCTATACCTTACTCATCACAACTTAATAGAATTCCTTCACAACTCTCCTACTCCCCCCAGAAAAACTTTTTTCTCATTTACATCACAATCCAAATGGCTTGGGCTGCACTTAGCCGATTGGGTCATTACATCCAGGAGATGCAGCACTGTGTCTTTCATGTGCCATCACCTCCCTTGACCTTGCAGCATCCAATCTTCCCTAGCAATTTACTTTCCTCATCAGCAGGCTAGATTTAGCTAAGGTGTGTTCGGGGAGATCATCAAAGCTGCTTTGACCTCAAAGAGAACAAATGTTAATATTCTGACCTAGAATATTGACACTCTCTGACCTTTGCTCTGAGAATCCCAGGCAGAACTGTCATTCAGCAGTGTTTGACTTCTCAGTGAGTCACCTTTTTTCTTCCAAGGGCCTAAAATATAATCAATATAGCTAATTATTAACTATTGCTAATAATGCAGCTTGAGCTGTTCTCTTATAATTAGATGCTTAAGAACTCCTTATGTGCTGCACAGTATTTATAGTTAGTATACCAGTGGGAAGATCTTGGAGATCAGTACACTCTATTTTTCCATCTTTTCTTCCCCTCTACAAAAAGACAATGCCCTACAGATTTTTTGAACTCTGGAAACCAGTTCTAAGGAAAGAAAATGAAATACCAAAAATCTTAAGTTGGTTAACTTAATGTCCCTTTCTCCTTGAAAAGGAAAAAAATCCCCAAAACCATACTATACAAGGTTATTCTGTACTGAATGACCACTTCCACTGCTTTCTCTCCCTGATTGCTTTCTGTGTATTCTAAATGGTAAAATCTAATAGGATTTCTGGGTATCTTTGGATATTCAGAAAGTCGAGGTTACTGTAAGAGCTACTGACTACTGACTTCTGTGACACCCCTGTGGAGTAGCTTCTTTGAATCCAGCAGGTGGTCCTTGAGAGGAATGATGATGACAATCTCATTTATGGAGAATACTTATAAGATGTGTGAAACACTTTTTTGTTTAGTCATTTTTCAGATGTGTCTGACCCCATTTGGGGTTTTCTTGGCAGAGATACTGGAGTGGTTTGCCATTTCCTTCTCCAGCTCATTTTACAGATGAGAAAACTGAGGCAAATAGGATGAAGTGACTTGCCCAGGGCCACACAGCTAGTAAGTGTCTGAAACCAGATTTCAACTGAGGAAGAGGAGTCTTCCTGATTCCAGGCCTGGTGCTTTATCCCACTGCACCACCTTGCTGCCCTAAGCACACCCAAAGCACTTGTCAGTGTGCTCTATAGTGTGCTAAGTTCTGGGAATTCAAAGAAAAGCCAACTCTCTCCCCCACCTCACCACCACCCACCCTCCCTTAAAAAAAAAACCTCACATACAGTCAAGGAGTGGACATTCTAATGAGGGAGACAACATACAAGTAACTAGGTACATACGAGATAAATACAGAGAAAAATAGAAGATAACCTGAAAGGGGAAGGCATTAAGAGAGGACTCAGGAAGGCCTGGCTTCAGGATTTGGGGTTTGAATTGAGCCTTGAAGGAAGCTGGGGAACCTAGGAGGCAGAGGAGAGTCATTTCAGGAATGTGGGACAGACACTGCAAAGGTGTGGAGGTGAGAGATCAGGTTCGTGTTGGTGTCTGAATGGCAAATAAACCAGTGTAGCTGGATACAGAGAGAGAAGAGGAAGCTTGTAAGAAGACTGGAAAGCTAGGAAAGGACCGATCTATGAAGAGTTCTAAAACCAAACAGAATAGGGGGCAGCTAAGTGGCGCAGTGGATAGAGCATTGGCCCTGGAGTCAGGAGGACCTGAGTTCAAATCTGGCCTCAGACACATAACACTCACTAACTGTGTGACCCTGGGCAAATCACTTAACCCCAACTGCCTCACCCCTCAAAAGAAAAAACCAAACAGGATTTTCTATTCAAACCTGTAGATAACAGGGAGCCGCCAGGGTTCATTGATCAGAGAAGACATGGTCAGAGCTATTCTTTTTAGGCAATCAAGGTTAAATGACTTGCCCAGGGTCACATGGTTAGTAAGTATCTGAGGCTAGATTTGAGATCAGGTCCTCCTGACTGCAGGGCTGGTGCCCTATCCACTGCTTCACCCCAGACCTATTCTTTAGAACACTCCTCTGGGTGCCTGAGCGTAGGACTGACTGGAACAGGGAGAGTGTTGAGGCAGGGAGACCAATTAGAAGGCAAATGCAGTAGTCCAGGCAAGAGGTGAGGAGAGTCTAAACTAGGCTTGTGATTGTATGAATCAACAGAAGGGAGGTCGAGGAGCTATGTTGTGGAGTGAGAATTTCAGCTGTGGTTTACACCATTTGCTTGTCCTCACAGCTTCTAGCTACAGGTATTTGAGCATCTCATTTGTAAAAATGAGGGGATTGGTAGGTGATCTCTAAGCAGGTCATTTTAGTTCTATTATTTTATGATCCTCTGAAAACAATAACCTAGTTCTCTTCAAGACAGATTGAGTTACATGATGGAAAATGCTATCCACATCCACAGAAAAGAACTATGCAGTCTGAATGCAGATGGAAGCATACTAATTTCTCTCCTTTTCTTTTGTTGTTTTGTTTTATTTCTTCTTTTTTTGTGGTTCCTCCCATTAGTTCTAATTCTTCTGTACATCATGACTAACGTGAAAACATGTTTAATATGAATGTATAAGTAGAGCCTATATCAGATTGCACACTGTCTTGGGGAGGGAGGAGGAGAAGGAAGGGGAGAAAATTTAAAACTCAACATCTTATGGGAGTGAATGTTTAAAACTAAAAATAAATAAATAAATAATTTTTAAAAAGAAAAAAAAAGACAGATTGAGTTATAAACACCACCCTCATATCAGTCTTTACTTACCACTCAGCTATGGAGCATTATGAGGCAGGAGTCACCGGGCAAAAGGAAGGAAGGAAGAGAAATAGAAGACAATGGAGTGTGCCTTCCCTAGAGGTGCTGCAGGAAGAGGTAGCCACAGCAACACCAAAGAGGTTGGGGCTGAGCAGCAGGTAGGGAAGGGGGAGGGAGCTTTGAACCCCTTCTCATGTTAGACCTGGTACAGCTATACCCCTTACCTGTGGTTAGTGACCCTACATGTGTGTGACCTACACATGTGTGACCCCCAAAGGACTTAGGCACTGGACTACCTCCATAGCCTGTGCCTAAAACTTCAGAGATAAATGACTGTATTTCTTCCTCCCTTTTTCTGAGAGTGGTACAGTGGACAAAGTGATAGAGTCGGAGGGAGGAAGACCTCCTTTCAAATCCCACCTCAGACATTTAGCAGCTATGTAAACTCCCCCCCCCACATTAGTTTCCTCATCTGAAAAATGGGGATAACAATAGGAGCTACTTCAAAGGGTTGTTGTAAAAAGCAAATAAGATATGTGTAGGTGGTACAGTGGACAAAGCACGGGGCCTGGAGTCAGGAAGACTCGTCTTCGTGAGTTCAAATCGGGTTTCAGACACTTCCTAGCTGTGTGACCCTGAGCAAGTCACTTCACCCTGTTTACCTCAGTTTCCTCATCTGTAAAACGAGCTGGAGAAGGAAATGGCAAACCACTCCAGTATCCCTGCCAAGAAAACCCCAAATGGAGTCAGACACAACTGAAAATGACTAAACAAAACAGTGTTTCACACACATCTTAAAAGTACTCTCCATAAACAAGGTTGTCATCATCAGTCCTCTCAAAGACCACCTGCTGGATTCAAAGAGGCTACTCCACAGGGGGTGTCACAGAAGTCAGTTGCTTGGTATGCTTGGCAAAGAAAAAAAAATCCTCAGGGTATATATTTCTTAATAGCACGGAAACAAGCAGGGTTATTTCTAAAACAATAAAGGCCCAACCTTCACCTGGGCCAGCTGCTGGCTAGTCTCCACACCCCTTCTCCTCCTCCCCCATCCCCATATGTTTTTTTACTTCTTACAAATTTTAACCCTGCAGCTATCAAAATGGAAAGGGATAGCAGATGACCCATCTCTTGGAACTAGGAGCATACTTTTTTCTCTCTTGTTTTATTTTTTTTCAATTGCATGTAAAAAAATTTTTAACATTTGTTTTTTAAAAAATTTTGCATTCCAAGCTCTTTCCCTCCCCTCCTTGCTCCTTGAGAAGGCAATTTGATATAGATTATACATGTGTAGTCATGGAAAACATATTTCTGTATTAGTCATGTTGCAAAACAAAACACAGACCAAAAAAGAAAAATAAAGACAGTAAAAAAAGTAAGCTGTAATTTGTATTTAGACTTCATCAGTTCTCTCTCTGGAGGTGGATAGCATTTTTCATCATAAGGCCTTCAAAACTGTCTTGCATCGTTGTATTGCTGAGAATAGCTAAGTCATTCACAGTTGGTCATCATACACTATTGTTGTATATATTGTATATGCAATGTTCCCCTGGTTCTGCTCACCTCACTTTGCATTAGTTCATGTAAGTCTTCCCAAGTTTTTCTGAAAGCATCCAGCTCATCATTTGTTATAGCATGATAGTATTCCATCACAATCATATACCACAACTTGTTCAGCCATTCCCCAACTGATGGGCATCCCCTCGATTTCCAATTCTTTGTCACCACAAAAAGAGCTGCTAGAAATATTTTTCTACATGTAGGTCCTTTTCCGTTGTCTTTGATCTCTGTTATAGAGACCTAGTAGAGGTATTGCTGCGTCAAAGGGCATGCACAGCTTTATTGCTTTTTGGGCTTGGTTCCAAATGGATCATACATTTTTCTAGTCTTTATTTATAACCTTCCACCCTTATCCCTCTTCTTTACTGGCTGTTCTCAAAGTGATGGCAACAGCTACATTCTGACTCTAGTCTTGAGTTCATACTTTTCCCAGCTTTTGTTTTGGCCTTTCCATTCTGCCCCAAATGGGGGGGAGGGGAAGAGTGGCAAGGGGGGAGTGCAAGAATAATTGAATAAGAATGAGGGAGGGGAAGTCATAATGCTGGGGATGTATCCTTTCTTAGTAATTATTTCTTGCTCAGTTCCTCTGCTTTCCTGGAAGCCTCTCACCTGTATCTCCTGAGATTCTACCGTATTAGTCCGCTAATAAGATGAGGATACATGGTAGGTACAGAGCGAGTAGATAGGTACAGGGCAAAAGATGTATAAACGCAAGCAGCTTTAATGCTGATCGCATCAAAAAGTTATAACAGGTGAGATATGTCAAATTTCCTAAAAAGAATTTGATGTCAGAAGACCTGAATTTAAATCCCAGATCACCTTATCACTGTTTTTGTGTCTATGAACAATTCTTGGTTTCCATATATATGTAGAATGAAGAGTTTGGATACATTACACCCTCTGTAGGCTCACTCTACCAATTTTCATTCTCACTGGCAGGTTGGGTTTCCAGAGAGCAGTTAACTACTTCTCCTTACATAAGGGTAATACTGAGAGGTTGGGCGTGGTATTCTAATACTACAGCTTATGAGCCCCAACCAGTGTGCTTCAGAAATATCATTTAACCAGTTAGTCTTTCCCAATATTAATTTAGTAACATTAATTATCAGATAAAAGTATAGTAAGAACCTAATTTTTAAAAATCCTCCCGATGTCTGAGACACGCTCTCCCACAAGTATATACAGAGTCCAGAGAAAAATAGGCTCAGGCTTAGAGAACTCATGTGGCAAAAGGGCGACTCAAAGTTCCTGATTGAATGGAAGTCTTGTCTCCTTCTTAGCCCCAAGAATTGGGACCATTAAAGAGGCCTGAAATGAACTTCTCTCTATTTGTCTATTTTATCCTCTCTCAGGCTAGAGGCATTGTTTGTAACTGGTCCAGTTTCTCCAGTGATGAGATCAGTGGTCAGGGGAAGGGGAAGATTATACTCCCTTTGGGCTAATGCTCTCCACCCTCCCCCCTTGTGGCCTACAGTTAGCCTATCAAAGACATATCCTCCTTTGACAAGGTAATCAGCACACAGAACATTTTCTTAGTTATATTCATTGGGTTTCAGCTATGAGAAACCCCCTTCTTACAGATGACTGATATGGGTCTTTCCAATTTGAAATGTATGATTCTATGGTAATCCTATGACTTATGCCAAATCACAGCTCAAATTGGCATGTGACTCCATATTTACAGTTGAGCCAGTATCTCTCAATATCTGTCCATCCTTTACGTACATGTTGCCCGGTAGAGTTTGGAGCATGGTGAACGGGCAAAAAAGACCAAGTCAAGAAGGAGAACCAGGAAAGAATAGTGTTATGAAAGCTAGGAGACAAAATATAAATATATATATATATATATATATATATATATATATATATATATATATATATCCAGAAGGAAAGGATGGTCAACTGTCAAATTCTGCAGAATCCCCAAGGCGAGTGAGCCCTGAGGAGAAACCATTGGATTTGGCAATTAGGAAATTATTGGTGACCCTCATGAGCTTAAGAATAGCCCATCAAAGTTCTTTTCAACAAGATGTTTTAGGTTCCAGTAGTTATCTTTATTCAAGCACAGTTTTTAAAAAATACCATTTTAAAGTTTTATTGATGCCTTTTGTTTTCCACACCAGTCATTTTTCCCCTCATTAAATCCTCCCTCATACCAAAGGAGAAACAGCTAAGACTGGCCAGCCATCCAAGTCTGACACCATATTTTGCCATGTTTTGCTCCTGTGGCGCCACTCCCATCCTCTCTTGAGGGGAGGGGTGTGTGTTCTGTCCTTTGTTCTCTTGGACCAGTGGTGGTCAATGCCAGGAGCCTGAGTGGGGCAGTCTCTCAGTGTTGTTTCAGTTTGTGCAATTATAGCCACTAAGCATATTGTCCTTCTGGCGCTGTTCAGACTCTCTGCTTGGCTTCGTCTGTCTTCCCAAGCATGCCTACATGGCTTTTGCTGTTGTTGTTGCTGAGTTGTTTCAGTCAGGTTTGACTCTTTGTGACCCCATTTAGGGCTTCCTTGGCAAAGAGGCTGGAGTGGTTTGCCATTTCCTTCACTAGCTCCCTTGACAGATGAGGAAACTGAGGCAGAGTTACATGACCTGCCTAGGGTCACACAGCTAGTAAGTGTCTGAGGCCAAATTTGAATTCAGGCAGATGAGTCTTCCTGACTCCAAGCCTGGTGCTCTGTTCACTGTGCCACCTAGCTGCTCCATTCACGCCTTGCATTCATGATTGTGTGTGGAATAGTAATGGTGCCCTGCATTCACGTGCTACCGTATGTTCATCCATTCTTCAACCAATGGTCACCTTTGTTTCCAGTTTTATGCTGCTACAAAAAGTCATATCTGAATTTTTAAGTTCTCAGACATGGAAAAATGCTGCATATTATGAGAGCACTTTCAGCATGTTTTCTGATTTTCAAAACCTCACTAACAGCTTTTCTTTTCTCTCCAGGAAAAAAACATAATTAAGCTACTTCCTAATGACACACAAGGGAAACATGAACCATCATCACCACCAAAGATATTCATCCACTCCAGGATCTGAAGTTTACTTAATACAAGAGACATTTGCATTTTGAAATAGGGGAGATCTATTGGCTGTCTTAGTGTTAGGATAAGAAGGTAAGTGCTCTGGATATATGTGATATGTGTATTGTGTGTTTGTGTATGTATGTATATGTGTGTGTGTAAGATCCTTCTCTTGAGGGGCTTACCGTTTAATGAGGGAAAGGATAAGTCTACAAATAAGTACAGTATAAGAAAATACTTAAATGGATTTCTGATCTCATTGATTTGCAAGGGAACTCCAACAATGTAGATAGCAGTCACGTCTGCCCATGGCATGCAGCTTTTATCCATGTCATCCCATAAATTCAACACAGGGGGTCCAACCAATACATTGTAGATCTTTCTCACTTTCTCTTAACATCATCAGGGTACCAGTGGAGCACTCTGTCTGTCTGTCATCCCTCACTCTCACCATATGACCAGCCTATCTTTTCTTCCTATCAAACATTTCCCTGGGAGCCTCTTTACTCCTATTCTCCTCTGAAGTTCCTCTTTGGTTATATGTTGCATCCTGCTTATACCCACCACATTCCTCTCAATATCCTCTATGTGTTATTCATTTTAAACTTTTTAGAATCTATTTTATTCCATGTCTCACTGTCATATAGGAACACCAGTAGAATGTTAATATGAAAAAGGCTGGCTGTTGTTTCCATGGGAAACTTGCAGTCATTAAAGGAAGATGAACTTTAAGGAGAGACCCCTGGATTTGGCAATCAGGAAAGTATTGGTAAGGGTAGTTGGGCCATCGTATCTGGATCCTGACGTTACAGATGTCCTCGTTGGGGTAGTAGAAATAGCACTAAAGAGAGCAAAGAGAGTTAAAAGTAACTGGATTGGACTCAGTGTTTAGAGAGGAGAGCTGTGCTAGAAATGACACAATTGTGAGGGTATTGAGGGACAGATACACAAAATATCTAAAGGAAGGAAATGTACCAAAGCGGTGGGAAAAGTTTCAGGCCTTCTTAATGCCAAAAACAGCAAGAAAGCAAACGGGAAAGCATTAACTATAGACCCACTCTCCCATATACAAAGGTACAAAATCTTTAGGAGAGTCATCTATACAGAAATCAAGAGCAGCCTCATTGAGGGTGTTAGTAGGGAACAAGGAGGCTTTCACAAGCAATATTCAAGAGTTGAAGATATTTTTACCATTTTGCAGTTGACTGAAAGATGGAGAGAATAGGAGATGTCACTGCTTATTGTCTGTTGATTATGGAAAAGCATTTGATGCAGAGGAAAAAGGAAGGAAAGGGGGAAGGAAAGAAGGAAGGGAAGGAGGGAGAAAGGAAGAATAAAAGGAAGGACAAAGAGAGGGAAAAAGCAATATTTTTATTTTTGTTTTTTTAACATGTGTTCTTAAAACTTTGAGTTACAAATTTTCTCCCGTCCTCCCTCCCCACCCACCCTTATTGAAAAGGCAGGCATCTCCATACAGGTTATAGATGTGTAGTCACGCAAAACACTTTCATAGTAGTCATGTTGTAAAAAACTAAGTATATTTCCCTTCATCCTATCCTACCCTCCCATTTATTCTATTCTTTCTTCTGACCCTGTCCCTCCTCAGAAGTGTTTGCTTTTGATTATCCCCTCCCCAATCTGCCCTCCCCTCTATCAACCCCCTGCTCTCTTGTTCCCTTCCACCCTTATTTTCCTGTAGGGTAAGGTAGATTTCCATACTCCACTGTGTATGTTATTTCCTCCTTAAGCCAAATCCTATGAGAATAAGATTCACTCATTCCCTCTCACCTTCCCCCATTTCCCTTCCAGTGTAAAAGCCTTTTCTTGTCTGTTTCATGTGAGATAATATACCCCATTCTACTTCTCCCTTTCTCCTTCTCCCAGTATAATCCTCTCTCACCCCCTTAATTTTATTTTCCAGTTATCACCCCTTCATCTTCAACTCACCCTGTGCCCTCTATCATCTATCTATCTATACATATATACATATAATTTGAAAAAAGCATTTATTAAGTGCCTACTATGGTCCAGGGACTGTACTAAGAGCTTTACAAATATCTCATTTAATCCTCATATCAACCCTAGGAGACAGGTGCTATTAATATCTACATTTGATAGTTGAGGAAACTGAGGCAGACAGAAATTAAGTGATTTGTTCAGGGTTTCAGAGCTAGAAGGCAGAACAAAGTGCTTCCTTAAAGGTTCTTTTCCAACAAAGTTTCTCCTGACCATGACTCACAGAATCATAGGTTTAGAGCTAGAAGGGATCTTAAAGGTCATCTAGTCTGAACCCCTCATTTAACTAAAGAGGAAAGTGAGGCTCAGAGAGGTTAAGTGCCTTGCCCAGGATCACACAGGCAGAACTAGGATTCAAACTCAGGTCTCATGATTTCAAATTCAGCACTCCAGCTTCAGCACTCTTTTCATTGAACCACAATGCTTCCCTGTCATTCAAGATGACTTAAAAGATATAAAACCAGAAATAAACCTGTTTAGAAAAATGCTCTGATCATAAATATCCAGCAAAGCATAAAATGAAGAGGTGTATGCTTGCTAAAGATATTTGCACTGTGATGGAAAAGACCCATTGCAGAGTCTAAGTTGAAGGATCTTCACTCAGTGAAATCCTCCAAATGCTCCTATTTGTTAATGACGTTGGTACATCAAACCCCAGAGCAGTGCAGTGCCTCCTGGAAGATATCTACAACCACTCCAAAAGAGTTTGGTCTGACTATCCATATGGGAAAGATCAAGTAGATAAAGAATATTTATTGCCCAAATAAGACATGCATCAGTATGTGTAAGTGATCATGGAGTTGGGCCCAGAAGCAGAGTGGGATGGATTACCTTTGGGAAATTGTAAAACTCCTTTAATGGCATAATAAAGAATGGGATAAATGCAAAAGTACTATAAGAAATTTGAGGACTGTTAAGAAATCATTTAGACCTAGGTATTTGGTGGGGTGGTGGTAGTGGTACAGGGAGAGTTAGTTTGAACATAGATGATGCCAAGTAGATTAGAGATTGATTGTGAAAGGCCTTTACCACCACTGAAAAATCTATAAATATTTTAATTTAATTGAAGAGTTTAATTTGCCTTAAAACAACCACCCATCAATTAGATGGGGAAACAAAAAAATAAGAGGAAACTATCTCAGTACTAAATTCAACAAATAACATTTGAATCAGAGTAATAGGACTATTCATAGTGAGACAGTGAGCTCTCTTAACTCCTAGTCTTCACAGCTAAAAATCTTCCTGTGTCATCATCACCCACCTTTTCTTCTGTCTCCCCAGCCCTTAAAATGTGTTGGCCCTTCCTCTTGCCAAAAGTAATTTAATTACAGGGCTTATTGATAGCATACAAACAACTGGTATTACACTCACTCTTACAAGAAGAAATATGCATCTGCTTCCCTGCCATCCTGGGTCCCAGCTTTTGTCTGGCCACATAACCAGGAAATTGGCTCTATCCATTTAGTAGACCAATTCCAGATGGCCTATGGTTAGGACCTTTGAGGTTTTCTACCGAGGAAATGAGATAGCTTGCCCAATCCAGGACAAACAAACCCCAGTACCTTTGAATAAACCAATTATGAGTAGGTCAGATAAGGTTCAACACAGAGGGGTTATTAGAATTCCTTTGGTATCAAGGGGCTGCACTCATGGATATTCATCAGTCATTACAGCTGTCTCTATTTCCAGATCTCCCTTCTTCTCCTTTGGGGAAAAGAGCCCAATCTAACCAGCTGCATCAATCTCTCTCTACCGGCTCCTTTCCTTCTGCCTATAAAAATTCTCAACACCCACCCATCCTAGAGAAAAGAAAAGAAAAGAAGAGAAGAAGGAAAGAAAGAAGAAAGAAAAGAAAAATTTCCCTTGACCATGCCACTCTTTCAAGTTATTGTCGTATATCACTCCTCCCCTTTAATAAATTAGAAGATATAGTCAGTATGTTAACTATTCATTACCTCTCAAGCCCTGGCAATGTGGTATCCATCCCTTCTATGCTCCTGAAACTGCTCTTTAAGGTTAGGAATGACTTCCTAACTGTCACATTCAGTGACTTTTTCTTAGTCCTCATCTTCATCAACATTTCTACAGCCTGGTACCATCCTCCTCTTGTTTCATGTTCTCTCTTCCCTCAATTTTGTGATACTGCTTTCTGCTGGTTCTCCTCCTTCCTTGACTTGCTACCTCTCTACCTCCTCAGCTGTTCATCTTCCTCTCTTTACTAATTAAATGGAAGAATGCTTGGGCTCTTTCCTTCTCTCTTCTCCTCCTCCTCTTCTTTCTCTTCTTCTTTTCCTCTCTGTCTCTCTCTCTCTTTCTGTCTCTCTCTCTCCCCTGTCTCCTTTGGTGAACGCATTCATTCCTGTGACTTCAATAATCACATCTAAGCATAACTTCCAAATCTAGATAGTAAACACAAATTTCTCTGCAGAGATCTGTTCAAACATCTCTGAGTACTTGCTTGGTTATTTCTACCTAGATGCCCCTCCAGAAGCTAAAACTTGACATGCTTAAAGCAGCAAATAGAATGCTGGACATGCAATTAGGAATACCTGAGTTCAAATCCAGCCTCAGAAATTCACTAGCTGTATGACCTTGGGATTAGTCATTTAACCTTTGTTCAGTTTCCTCACCTGTAAAATAGGGATAATAATAGCACCTACCTGCCATGGTTGTTTCAAGGACCAAATGAGGTAATATTTGTAAAGCACTTAGCACAGTACCTAGCAAAAAATGTGTTCCTTCTAACCTCCTTGCCTATAGAACAACTCCCAGTCATCCAGGCTAAAGATCTTAGAATAATCACTGACTCTATCTAGCTTCTCCTGAGCCCCTAAAGCTCTCTGGATCTAGTTGGTTGCCATATCCTGTTAATTCTCCCTCCAGGATATTCTTTCTCTGCCCTCCTCTCCATCTTACAGTGGTTGCCTATTGCCTCTAAGATCAAATATAAACTCCTCTGTTTGGTGTTTCAAGCCCTGTACAACCCAATTCCAAATTATCTTTCCAAGTGCATTGTATGTTATACCACTTCATACATTCTGCTGTCTGGTGACAGGCCTTTGCACTCTTCGTAATGC